ATAGGAACTCCCTCAACCAGACCGGTCTAGTCCCTAAATTATTACCTTGTTTTAAGTCAGGAGCTCACGGCTGCCTTTACCCTTTAAACCTGTAATTTACAGAGCAATTTTCTGCCAGGTGAGGGAGTGGATCTGGCTTCCAATAAAGTCGTACTGAATACGGAGGAAGTTTTTTCTGCCCTGGGAACGTCTGGCTTTAGGAATTTTTTACTGTAAACAGCAGGGGTGTGGCCAGTCAGCCTCAGGCCACTGGTTTCAAGCCCAGACTCTGCAAAAAGCCAGTCCGCTCCCGGCTCCCACTCACTCACCCAGGACCCTGGGAATCCATGAGTGGAGGTGGGAGTGATACTGGCATCTATTTTTTAATTTTTATTTTTTATTTTTATTTTATTTCTGAGAGAGAGAGAGACAGCGTGAGCAGGGGAGGGTCAGAGAGAGAGTGTGTTTCATATTCTGAAACAGGCTCCAGGCTCTGAGCTGGCAGTCAGCACAGAGCCCGACGCGGGGCTCGAACCCACGAACTGCGAGATCATGACCCAAGCGAAAGTCGGACGCTCAACCGACTAAGCCACCCGGGCGCCCCATGGCATCTATTTTTTAAAATATATTTTTAAATTTTATATATTTATTTTGAGTGAGAGCGAGCAAGCAGGGGAGTGACAGAGAGAGGGAGGGAATCCCAAGCAGACTCCGCGCTGTAAGCACAGAGCCCAAAGTGGGGCTTGAACTCATGAACCGCTGAGATCGTGACCTAAGCTGAAATCAAGTCAGATGCTTAACTGACTGAGCCCCCCAGGCACCCCCAAAATGGCGTCTATTGAGTACAGGCCAGGGATGCTTCTAAACATCTTGCAGTACATGCGACAGGCCCCGGACAGCAGTCCCCAAGGTCAGTGGTGCCGAGGTTGAGGAGCCCAAGCGCCCAGGCAAGGCTGTCTGCTATTGGGTCTGAGCTATGGGGTCAGATGCCCCTGAATCCTTGAGTCTGTCTCTTCGCCTCTGTGAGCGTCTGGGTGTCTGGACTCTGTGACTGTCCGGGGGCTCTTAACCCCTGGGGTCCTTGCTTGTCCCAACTGCCAGGGAGAGGAAACCTCCCCCAATGAAAGCGTGCGGGCAGGCATCCCTCAGGACGGGAGGGTCGGGACAGGAGGGTCGGTGGGCCGTCCCACCCCTGAGGCCCTATCCCACTGAGACCCTGCGAGAACCCCCTGGGTGAGGACCTCTCTCTCTGGTGCAGGGGCTGCAGAATTGGGAGGTTGTGTGTCCCATGGCCATTTGCCAGCAGTGGGGACGACCTGCCCGAGAGCGACCCTGATGGAGAGGAAAGCGAAGCCAAGAGGTAAAAAAGATGAAGACCCTGAAGATATCGTTTGATGCTGAGTCCAGCCACACCCAAAGCTGGTCACGGTCCTGGACTGTTCTTTACAGAAGCTAAGGCGTTCCTTTGTACCTTTTTTTTTTTTTTTAATGTTTATTTATTTATTTTTGAGAGAGAGAGAGAGAGAGACATTCCTTTGTACTTTCAAACCGGTTTTTTTGAATTGAGTTTCTATCTCCGGTCACTGGCTAATACAGCAATCCCACCTGCCCGAAAATATTTTTTGGCATTTATGGGAATGTTCTGTATCTGTTGAATAGGGTAGCCACCGGCCCCAGGCAGTGAAGGAGCCCTTGAAAAGTTCTGGGGTGACTGAGGAATGGAAAGTTAAAAAATTTTTTAAATTTTATTTAATTGGGGCGCCTGGGTGCCTCAGTCGGTGAAGTGCCTGATTTCAGCTCAGGTCATGATCTCCCCATTCATGGGTTCGAGCCCCGCGTTGGGCTCTGTGCTGACAGCTCAGCGCCTGGAGCCTGCTTCAGATTCTGTGTCTCCCTCGCTCTCCCTGCCCCTCTCCTGCTCGTACTCTCTCTCTCTCAAAAAGAAATGAAAACATTTTTAAAAGTTTAAAAAAACAGAATTTTGATTAACTAATAATTTAAACAGCCACGTGTGGCTGATTACTGCTGTATCAGATCGTCTGTCTCTGTTGTGTCTTGCATGAGTTTTATTTGTTTTCTATCAGTTCATTTGTTTAACAAAGAGTGTGTGTTGGACGCTGTACTGGAGTCTAAAGCAAGGTCACGGGCCCCACGCGGATAACCTTAATGCAAAGTGGAAATGCAGAAAGTTTGGGCGGAGGCCCAGATGATGTCCTTTGGGTCACAGAAGGGTTGGAGGAGGGGACCAAACAGTGCTACTCAAGGGAATTGTCAGATCCTGAGGTAGATGAATCCGTCTGCTGACAAGTCCTCCTGGAAAGCGGGACCACACGGGGCGGCCCCTGGAGGCGCAGGGCAGGCGGAACCGGCTGTTTTCAGACAGGCTCACGCGCCTCCTCTATACCCACCGTGTCTGTGTTCTCATCAGTAAAACAGAATTAGTGATGGTACATGCCTCTCAGGGCAGCTTTAGGATTAAAGGAGATAATTGTGCAAAGCCTTTAGCACACAGAAGCGTCTAGAACAAACACACACACAAACTCTTAGCTCTTAATTATTATGAGAACATGGCCCCCTCGTCTGGAGGGCCTGGTGAGGCTTAGGGACCCTCAGAGGGACCCAGCCTATGTCAGCCCTGCCCTGGCCTCTGTTTCTCCACCGGGGAGGGGCCTTCCTGTCGTGCCTCACCTACACGCTGGGGCTGGGCTGAGTCGTGGGAACCCACCAACGGGGAAGGACTCTGTCGGGTCCCAGGGAATCGGGGTGAGGGTGGGGGCGGGGATTGCACATTTCATGCAGGTCTGATGAGGTTTCTGTTGAAGTTTTGCCCCAAATCTTGCAAACCAGCAGCACATCTCGGATTTCTACTTGGGGCTGTAAAAGAGGCACCTGCCACCTGTGTTGGCATCAAGTCAGCTGTGCCCTGATGGCCCTGGTGCCACCTCGTGGGCCCGTTGTATCAGTCTGTGGCCCCAGGAGTCCAATTTAGCCGCGAGTCAGAGCAAGGGGAAAGAGGGACCCATTTACAGGAGGTGGAAGCTTCATGTCTCTTAGGCAGTGCTGCTTGCAGTCCGGGTGACATAGCTGGGCAGGAGGCAGACTGGGCGCCCTGGGAGTGAGCGGAAGCCCAGAGAAGTTCTGCTGTTGCTTGGTGCCCCTTCAGCACTCTCAGGAGATGAGCTCCTCGCTTCTTTCACCCAGCTGTGTGGGTCTTATCTCAGCCTCCTTTACTCTGGCCCTCCTACCACAGGACCTTTGCACATGCTGCCCTGGCTCTCTAGAATCCTTTTCCCTTTCCCCTTCACGTGCTGAACTCTCCTCCATCTAGGCCTCACCTCCTCCTGACTACATTAAACATCCATGGGATAAGCCCTCCCAACTACCAGCTTCCCCTGCTCTCAACACTGGTCTCGGTTACGCTCTTACATTGCTCGAGGGGTATCTGATTCCTGTGTCTTGACCCCGCTGGACTAGAAGGTCTGCAAGGGCAGAGGCTGGGCAGGACTTCACTCACCATTATATCTGCAGCATGTTGCTTAGTTCCCACTGCCTGGAATGTTCTTCCCTCAGGTTCAGGCAGGGCTGGCTCCTTCCCAGAACTCAGGTCTCAGTTCGAAGGTCCCCTGGGCACCCCCACCCCTGCCTGAATTCAACCCCCCTCCCACCAGCCACGAAGAGACCATGACCCCCTGAGCTGACAGCTGTGCTCTGGCATCTGAAAATGAGAGCACCCTGGGAGGGGTGAGGCGGGCGAGCTACTGATGCTAAGGGAGGGGTCCCTGGTCAGATGTTTTCCTCCTGGGAAGAGGGAGCGCAGGCTCCCTGGCTTTTCCAGCAGGACAGATGCCCCCTGGCGAGGTAAGTCCTATGCTGGGGAGGGAGGCGGGGGTGGGGGTGGGGGGTCACCTGCATTGCAGGGAGAGGAAGTGCGCAGCCGGGTCAGAGGAGCCTGGGGTTGGGAGGCAGATGACCGAGTCTGAGTCCCTGCCTTGGAAATTCTTAGCTTCATGGAGCTGGCTGAGCCCCTCAGCCTCCCCAGCCTCAGTTTCCCCATCTCCAAAATGGGTGGGTAATCTCCTCTCCCAAAGAGGCTGCTGGGAAAATTAAAGGAGAACACACGCAGAGAAAAGGCTACTATGAATAAAGCGCTGTGCAGTAGTATTTATTGTTACAGTGTTAACATTCACTCTTGGGAAGACATCGGGCCACGACTAGCAACTCAGAGGCCAGGAGCATCATTTCCGTTCATGGACACCTTTTCCCTTTGCAGCCGCAAACTCCGTGTTAGGAAATTCTTCTCCCCCAGCCAGCGTCGGCGGTAACGGGGCCTTCAGAAGTTGACATGTCCCACCGGGTCTCTTCCTCGCCGCTCACCCGCCAGGAGCCCGTTGGAGCCTCGACGAACAGCGTAGAAGAGAGGGGGCCAGAGCACGTGGGCTTTGATGGGAAGGGGTGGGTGTGGCTTGGAGCTCTGGAGGGTCAGGGCGCCCCCACAGTGGACACGGAGTCACGTGCTGCCACATCTTCCCCTTCTGCCGCGTGCAGCCCCGTTTAGTGCCCTCGAGGTCTGGGGTCACTGTTCGGGGGCCCCTCTGTGCTGCCTGGGGGTGTCGAGGGCCTTCCCCTTCTCTTCATCAGTCCAGGTTTTCATGCGGCCTCTCCCGGCCTCCTGCAGCCTGGGCCCCAGTGGGTGGGTGACTGTGATGCTGACAGACAGACAGACAGACAGACTTCCAGGAGGAAGGTTCTGCCCAGCTAAGGACAAAGGGGCCTTTCAGAGGTGTCTGAGGTCAGAAAGCTGAGTCCACTGGGCAGGTGCCTATTTTTTTTTTTTTTAACTTTATTTATTTTGAGAAAGAGAGAAGAAGGGAGGGAGAGAGAGAGAGAGAAACAGACAGACAGACAGAAAGCAGGGGAGGGGCAGGGAGAGGAGAGAGAATTCCAAGCAGGCTCCGTGCTGTCGGCATAGAGCCTCATGCAGGGCTCCATCCCACGACCCCGAGATCATGACTTGAGCCCAAACTAAGAGCTAGATGCTTAACTGAATGAGCCACCCAGGCTCCCGGGGCAGGTGTCTTCTCATGGCCCTGGTCCTCAGCTTCTGGGAGAGATCTGGGGCACCTCTGCCTGCTCTGCCTCTCCCCAGCCACTGGCACCAACCACCCCTTTTTAGGGGGCAGCCCCCATGGGTACAGATGACACCTCTCAAAGAAGCATGTTCAGATTGCCCCAGGTCCAGAAGCCATATCGCCCTCCAGGACCACGCGGTTCAGGCCCTTTGGACAGGATGAGGCAGGTCCCCGTTCCGCAGGGGGCCACCCTGCCCACTTTAGTCACTTAGCCCCCAGAATCTCTGTTAAGTCTTTTTGCACCTGCTGTCCTGCCCACCCGGAGGCAGGGTTGACACTTGGGATTTTTCCAGCAGACAAAGCTGCACCTGACTAGTCTGTGTGTGGAAGTTGTTCATTTATCAGCCGACCTGTCCTCGTGTTGAAAAGCCCATTCCGAACGCCCACCTGGCTGCCAAGGACTGGAGCATCGGGTAGGAGAGAATGTGCTATTAAGGTACCATTTGGGCTGAAAGGGGCTTCCGAGGTTGTCTGCATCGGCCCAGGCCTGCTGGCCCAAGGTTGCACGTTTTTGGGCAATGCCATCCCCGAACTGTCACCAGGGGGATGGATTGGGGGAGGGAAATGTAAGCCTCCTTTCCCACAACTCCGGTGGACGTTGGCTTCAAATAATCGGAGATGCACACAGGCGCCTGGGTGCCATCCTTGCCCACCCAGGGGAAGAATTTCCTGCCTGGTTTGCTGCTTCCCAAGAGGCGGATCCTGGGGTTCTGGGTCACTCAGCCTGGATGCTGGCGTGGGAGTGACCTGTGGCATCAGGTCAGAAGGGGTTTTACTACTTCCCCCTCCGGGCTGCAGGCTGCAGCTTCAGGCCCCAGGTGTGGCCGAATGTCACGAAGATACTGGAGTTTGGAACCTCAGCAAAGCCACCTTAGATACGAGACCCTCACCCCTCAGGACACCGAATCGGAAATGTGACCCTAGAAGGCTAAACATCAGACGAACAGAGGGCCACCCGCCTGTCCGCGGGGTAGGCGCTTGGTTTCCATGGACAAGTGAAGCTGTGCTTATCTTGAGATCAGAGAGGAAACCATGCTCTTCGGCATTGGGGAGGAGTCATTGTCAAGTTCATCAAGGCCTCAGTTTAGGCTTTTCCCATGAGAGGAAATAGTTCATTGGGTTGAAGAATGTGTGCTTTGACGGTTCCTGGAGGTTGACAGCCATTCACGTCTTGGAAATTCAGGCCTCTCTTTGACTCTAGTGTGAAAGGCTTCCATGGTGGTCGAGCATTGTGGTCCTAAACAACTGATTCGCTTTGACAATCAAAGTGTCAGTAGAATTCCAGTGCATTCTGTCCCTCCCAAATCATCACTCAGTGCTGTGGTCAACAGACTCCAGCCTGAACACTTGGATCAGACTGGTTTTCAAGGCTCTGTCTGTGGACTTTTTTCCCTCCCCTCTCTCTTTTTGGTCAAGCCCTACTGGGGGCTCTAGAGTCTGAACATTAAGCATTCCTTTCCTCCTTTTGCGCATTGTTCCAGCCAGAACGCCATCGGAGAGAGAAACAGTTCAATGTCAGTCCTGTGCCGTCAGTGGGAAATCCGAGGTCCCGTCTGTCCCCGTTCCTTTCCACCTGTCTGTCTCCTGAGAGGTTACAAAGCGTGTTACAGACATTAGCAAGTGTTAATTCTCACGGTGTCCCTGGGAGGGAAGCGGGAAGTGTTGTAGATGAGGATGCTGAGGCACAGAGAGGTGAGGCCCCTGGGAAGAAGCCACAGAGGAAAACAGTGGCAGAGTCGGGAGAAGGGCGGGGGCGTCTCTCCACCACGTTGACGGCTTTGCTCTGTAAGATTCAGCTCAAGGAGGGCATTGGTGACGCGCCTCTGCTTTAGGTGACGGAGACATCACAGCACAGGTTGGTTGGGTTACGTGACAAGCATTTCCCTGTCCCCAGTCCCAAACCCACTGTCCAGCTTGGTCGTCATGAATCCAAGTCAATCTCCTGGATCTTAGATACCCTCTGTCCTGATGACAGGAAATCTGCGATTCGTGGAAACGCTGCTGCTAAGCCCCGCCCCCGCGCGGATCACTTGCCTCCCTCCCTGGGGTGTAGCCGCTCGTGGGGGAAGGCGAGTAGCTCTTGTACATGTCCTCCCCCACGTGACACGTGGCTGTTAGGGTGGGAGGGCATGGCCGCCCCGTTTTGCATTCTCCCAAGAGAGAGTCAGGGAGCCAAACCCGAAGCCGAGTTCTAGGTTATGGGGGATGCAGGTGCTGGACCCAAGAGCCCCCCCCAGGCTGGCTGGGAAGGGCCCACGTGCCGTCGGGTCCTGCCCATGTGCTGGCCCCTGGCACTGCCCGTGCTGGGCGCTGTGTGTCCGGCTGGAGTCCCACCTGCGCTTCCTCGGAGGGCACTTGCGGCAGCTCAGTTCAAGGCTCCGGGGACCAGCTGGCCTGCTCAGGGGCTGACAGTCCCTCTGAGGTGGGGCCTGGGGATAGAGAGGCGGGGCTGATGGGTCCTTCCCCTGAGCAGGAAGGTCCGCAAGCCGCTCAAGGCGCAGGCTGGTGCCCTCTTGTTCCTGAGCTCCTGCCTGAAACTGCGACAGTCTGCCGGGATTTTCCCCGGGGGAGGAGCATCCTCGCCTGCAGCCACTATGTACAGTGGTGACAGCATCTGGTACCCTTCCTCCGTGGCTGTGTCCGTGTCGGGGCCGGTGGGGCGTCCGTCCCTTACACATTGGTGACCTCGAGGCCGTTGTAGCCTTCCAGACGGCACTGCTCTGGCCTGCCCTGGGGGTCATCGTCTCCACAGTCTTCGTTTTGAAGAGAGCCATAGTCATCATGAAAATCGGGGTCTTTGCTGCTAAAGCCCCTTCCTATCTTCCCCAGGGGCAGCTGAGAAGAGAGAAATGAAAGGTCAGAGAAAAAAAAGGAATGGAGTGTTTTGGGATCTGGAAAATGGGGGGGAGGGTCCCCCATTCTAACGACTGTGTGACCTTAAGCAAGTTGTCTAGCCTCTCTGTGTGCTTCCTGCTGTTCAACCCTAGGCGAGAGCTTTGTGTTCCCAACGGAGGGAACTGGTTGGTTGCCAAGGGTGAGGACAAATATAGTCTGATTGTCCTCAAATGTCTCCCACCTCCCTCCTCAGCAGGAGGAGAATGGAGGATGGGTTTTTTTTTTTTTAATATTTTTTATTTATTTCTAGGAGAGAGAGAGACAGGCTGAACAGGAGAGGGTCAGAGAGAGAGGGAGTCACAGACTCCGAAACAGTCTCCGGGCTCTGAGCTGGCAGTCAGCACAGAGCCCGACGCGGGGCCCGAACCCACGAACCGCGAGATCATAACCTAAGCGAAAGTCGGACGCTTAACTGACTAAACCACCCAGGCGCCCCAGGATGGGTTTAATAGGAGAGGAGGGAATGTCTGAGCATGGGCGTGAAGTCTGACCGCGTTCCCAAGTCGAGAAGAAATATTCTAGCACCACCTGGTGCGGCAGAAAGGGTGTGCATTACAGAGACTCATAAACTAGGGGCTGGATCCCTGCTTTGCCACTTCCCGGCTGTGTGACCTTGGATGAGTCACCTGCCCTCTCTGAGCCTCAGTTTTCTCAGCTTCAGGGTGGGAATAGCAGCTCTTTTCTCCCAGAGCTGTCACAAAGAGTAGAAATCGGATCTGTGAAGCACACAGCAAGGTGTTGGCAAAGGGCAGTAGCTATTATTACCTTCCGCAGCAGCCAGCCCCTCAGTGTATATTTATCTCTTATTTTGAATGTATCTCCATTATAATCACCCTCATGGTGCTTTGTAGCTATTTATTTCCTCGACTGCCTTTGTTTCTAGTGTAGTGTTTCTCGACCTTTAGTTCAATGTTGCCAACTTTATTTTATTTATTTATTTTAAATTTGTTAATTTTTTAAAACATTTATTGATTTTTGAGAGACAGAGAGCAAGCTGGGGAAGAGCAGAGAGAGAGGGAGACCCAGAATCTGAAGCAGGCTCCAGGCTCTGCGCTGTCAGCACAGAGCCCGACGTGGGGCTCGAACTCATGGACTGTGAAATTGTGACCTGAGCCGAAGTCGGACGCTCAACCGACTGAGCCACTCAGGCGCCCCAATGTTGCCAACTTTAAAAAGGAGCCATTCAGACATTTTCCTTCTAATCCCACTGCTACCATGAAATCCTCACACCACAGAATTCTCGCACAGGGTAGAAATTCTCTGTGTTTCTGCTCATGTATCGTGTATACACCTGTGCCTGATACATAAAGAGTGAGGTTTTTGCCCCTCCCCACCAGACCCATTTCCACCCCGTTCTACACTGAGAGCACCGTAAGAGTAAGGGAGGGAATTTATTCACGCTTGGCCCCATTCATGCTCAGGCTGGTGCCGAAAACACAATGCGCATCCAAAACGTGTTTGCTGAATGAATGGAAGAATTCTTGGACTATCCACTTCTGCCATCTGTGTCTACACACACTTCCGTTTAGGAATCTGGGTCAGTCTGAGCCTATGTGAACTGATCCAAACCGCACATGCTTCCATACACCAGAAGCCGATCTGCCACTCCCGGTCAGATCGTTGGAGTTCAGGAGCTAATCAGTGGTTCTCAGAGTCTGGGGTGCATGGACCCCACTGGTTTCCCCTCACCCCAGAGGCCCTTGGTTTTAGGAGGCCCAGGTGGGGGGCGCCTGGGTGGCTTAGTCGGTTAAGTGTCCGACTCTTGATTTTGGTTCAGGTCATGATTTCATGGTTGGTGAGTTTGAGCCCCGCGTCGGGTTCTGAGCTGAGAGCACAGAGCCTGCTTGGGATCCTCTGTCTCTTTCTCTCTCTGCCTCTGCCCACACATGCTTTCTCTCTCTCTCTCTCTCTCAATAAATAAATAAACATTTAGGAGGCCTGGGTGGGTCCCAGAATCTGCCTGTTAAGCAACTGCTGGTGATTCTGAGGCAGGCGGGTGAGACCTGTGCTTTGAGCTGCCGCTCTGAGCCTGGGGGGTGGGGGTGGGGGCCGCTTAAGCATCACACAGGTCAGTTGAAGGTGACTTCCTCTTTTCTGTCTGTATCTGTGACCTGGCCCATCGGTACCCCTCCACAAGCGAAGAGAGGAGTTAGGAGGGGGCATCACGGGTCTGGATGACAAAAAGACCCTCCCCTGGCTGCAGGACTCACTGGTGAAGGCATCAAGCCACTTACCCGGCCAGTCTTGTACTTGATGCCGCCGCTGTTCTCCTCCTTCCCGGCCCGGGTGATGCTGGAGGCCCTCCCGGGGGGTGTTCCGAAACGCTCAGCCTCCCGGATGCCTGAGGAGCTGGGGAGAGACATGTCCTGCGTCAGCAGTGGGGGACCCCATCAGCCACCATCACCCAGAGACACACACACTCTCACGGGTGACGATGACCGGGACAGCTGCAATTTACTGCGTTCCTTCTGTGTGCCACCCAGTGCTAAGCACTTTACGAGTGAATCTGAAGCATCAGGAAAATTTGCCCCACCATGCACTTGAGATCTGTGTCTCCCCCACCCCACTTCACAGTGACTTGTTGACTGAAGTGACCCTGGTACGCCCTTCTGTGTGTTAAAGCTCTGAAGGCTTCTGTCAGAATAGGATTTGACAAACTGCACCTGCTGGCTGATTCTGCAAATAAAGTTTTATTGGAAGACAGTTATGTCCATTAGTTTACATGCTGTCTAAGCCTGCTTTCTTGCTCTAAGAACAGAGTTGTATGCTTTTTTAAATGTTTAGTTTATTTTTGAGAGAGAGGTAGAGCATGAACAGAGGAGGGGCCGAGAGAGAGGGAGACACAGAATCGGAAGCAGGCTCCAGGCTCTGAGCTGTCGGCACAGAGCCCGACGTGGGGCTCAAACTCTGTCCACTGATTTATTTCTCGGGATCTGTAACTCACAGAGGACTGACACAGAGTTGGGGCTAGACAGGGGTTTATCAGGAGAAGCAGGATGTGTGTGTCAGAGCAGATGCTGCCAGATGGTGCCAGACACTGCCCGCTCGGTGTGTGCCTCGTCACGGCGACAGGAGGCAGCTGGGACGAAGATGTCATGCTGGGACTTAGTAACTCTGTGAACGTGCCCCCCTGGAGTCAGGCGAGGAAGCTAATGTTCCCCGACTCCATGGCCACACGCCGTGGATGGGGTGGCCACAATCTCCCGATGCACTCTGAGCCTCCTGGCCCCTCCTATCTACGTGGTCGCAGGGCCTCTGGGGATGCTAGGGGTGGGGGCAGGGGCTCGTCAGCACCCCCGTACACTTCCCCGCATGGTGGAAGGGCACTGGGTCCTGGGTGGGAGATGCTGGCACGGCCACTGGCTACTCTTATGGAAGTCACTGTACTTCTCCGAAGCTAGTTTTCTTACCCAGAAGATGGAGTGACAATCAGGGGCGCCTGGGTGGCACAGTCAGTTAAGTGTCCAACTCTGGATTTCAACTCAGGTCATGATCTCCAGGTTTGTGAGTTTGATTCCTGAGTCGGGCTCTGTGCTGACAGCTCAGAGCCTGCTCAGGATTCTGTCTCCTTCTCTCTCTGCCCCTCCCCTCCTTGCTCTCTACCTCTCTCTCAAAATAAATAAAAAATAAACTTAAAAAATGGGACAATGATCCCTTGTCATTCAGCTTCCTCCTTGTGGACGAGGATCAGACAAACTAAGGGATGAGACAGAACTTTGCTGATGATAACTTACGTCACCTGGTCCCCACGAGTCTTGGGTTCAATCTGGGACGGAGTCTCAGGTTAGTCCTTGGTAGCTATTCAATGGTCAGGGATGTTTCTTTTAATTTTAATTTTTTTTTTTTACATTATCTGTTAGTTTATTTATCAAGAGAAACTATTCCATAACCCAACATTCATGTCTCATAGTTCAGGAACACAGGTTAGTGACAAACTTCCATGGAACTCAACCCAAAGAAATTCTTTACACTCCAAAATCACTTTGCACTCTGAAAGTTACCAGCCTTCCTCATCTCCTCAAAATCTTTCATGGAATCATAATTTCTGTAGAAATCTGCATATGCCTTCTTTCTTGGTTTGGCCACAGCAAACTTATAGAAAGCTGCAACCCCCAGGGACACAGCGAATGCTCCAACAATATGAAATCGCAGGCGCTTGGCCAGAAGGCCTCGCATCTGAGGTTTCATCAAAGCACCGGAAGTCATGGTAGTTATTCTCCTCAATGCCAACCTCAAACCCAACGTCCTTCCTGATTCAGAAATGGACCTAATTTTAATTTTTAAATGTTTATTTTTGAGAGAGAGAGAGAGAGAGTGCACAAGCAGGGGAAGAGCAGAGGGAGAGAGAGAAAGAGTGAGCGAGGGAGACACAGAATCCGAAGCAGGCTCCAGGCTCTGAGCTGTCAGCACAGAGCCTGACGCGGGGCTCGAACTCAGAAACCGTGAGATCATGACCTGAGCTGAAATCAGTCACTTAACAGACCGAGCCACCCAGGCACTCAAATGTTTCTCCATTTGAATCCTCCTACCCCATCAGACTATTCCAGAAGGACACATCCCAAAGGGCCAGCACCACGTGCCCTGCCCCCTCTCTCTCCGGAAGGCTAAAGTCAGCGCAGAAGGACAGAGGGAGGGAGGGCAGTGGGCGGGGCAGCTTCACACTTGGGCCACCGCAGAGGTGCCCCGGGGCAAAGCCTGAGGATCTTGGTTACTACAAACCCATCAGAACGTCCCACACATCTCACCCTGTGCCCGGGGGTCACGTCTCCACCAGTGTCTGGCTTAGCTGGGGACTCTGGCACCAGCAGGCAGTGCTCTCTAGAATTTCTTAGAAACTCATGAAGTTCTGCTTCCCCCGAGCTGGCTGAAGTCTCTTCCCCTGGCCTGTGGCAGGTTCTCAGCAAAGGGTTCCCAAATGCCACGCGGAGACCCGATGCACGGGCCACCAACAGGAAGCCACGGGGCACGTGCACGGGCACGGGCCACACGTAAGGAAGCAGCACTATGCAGAGGTGACGGCAGGGAGGCGGGCCCGGGGTCCGGGCTGCAGCTCAGACCTCTCGCCCAAAAAATAAGGAGGAAGAGCCTACTTTCCTCTTCCTTATCCTGATACCAGAAAGACTGCTTTCGTCCTATTCTTGAAAAATTTATTTAATGTTTATTTATTTTTTGAGAGAGAGAGAGAGAGAGCGTGAGCAGGGGAGGGGCAGAGAGAGAGGGAGACACAGAATCTGAAACAGGCTCCAGGCTCTGAGCTGACAGTCAGCACAGAGCCCGACGCGGGGCTCGAACCCACGAACCGCGAGATCATGACCTGAGCCGAAGTCGGACGCTTAACCGACTGAGCCCCCCAGGCGCCCCACTTTCGTCTCATTCTTAAGGGAGTCCTTGGCCTGTCAACAGCATGGAACCCACCCTATTTGTGTCCCACCAGAAACTTCCCCAGTTCCCTGTTCCCCAAATCTTGGATAGTCCTCTAAATCCACCTGTTACTCAGGAGTGGTCAAGGGTTTAATCAGACACACAAATGGCTGCTAATGTTTAGCTGGTGCTGCCCCTCCAGGCCTCAGCATGTATTAAGGCCATTACAGGTCACAGTGCTCCAGAAGGGAGGTCAGGGAAGGTGACAATTCGTAGGAGAAAACCCTTTTTCCCGCACCTGTTGATTTGTGGCTCATGGAACACAGTTCTTGTCAAACTTTGGTCTCCACGGAACTATCTCAAGGTGCTCAAACTGTGGATTCCTCGGCTTTGCCGGCAGACAGCGGCCCTGCAGCTCTGAGTTAGGGCCAGGGATCTGCATTTCACAAGGGTGCCGATGATTTTGTTGTGGGGGTCCATGGATCACACTTTGAGAACCGCTTGGGTGTTAGCCTGCTGATGGGGAAGGGCACCTCAGGACTTCTGGACTCTTGCTACTAATATACAGCTCCCTCCCCCGCTCCCCCGAGCCTCAGCGTCTCCACCTGCATAACATGGGGTGTGGCCCAGCTGCTTCCTGGGCCTTCATGTGGTTTGGGGGTTCAGCACTCAGGGTTCGGACTCAGAGAGTCTCCGATTCAAATCTGAGCTCAGGGGCGCCTGGGGGGCTCAGTCGGTTGAGCGTCCGACTTCAGCTCAGGTCATGATCCCACGGTTTGTGGATTCAGGCCCCACGTCGGGCTCTGTGCTGACAGCTCAGAGCCTGGAGCCTGTTTCATATTCTGTATCTCCCTCTCTCTCTGCCCCTCCCCTGCTCATGCTCTCTCTCTCTAAGAAATAAATAAAACATTAAAAAAAGTTTCAAATCTGAGCTCAGTCAGCAAAATGGACAAAGCTTTAGCTAGACTTGCCAATAATTAAAGAGTAAAGATCAAATTACTAAAACCAGGGATGAGTGAGGGGACATTACTACCAGCTTCACAGGAATAGGGGAGGTTGTAGGGAAATGATGATGTAATCAATTGCATACCAATAAATGAGCTAACCTAAGCAAAACGGACACATTTCTAGAAGGATATAAACTACTGGAACTGATTCATGAAGAAATAGAAACTCTGAATAGATTTGTAACAAAGAAAATTGAAGTAGCACAAAAAAAAATTTTTTTTATTTCCCCAAAGAAAAGCCCAGAACAATGAGGCTTCACCAGTGAATTCTACTAAATGTTTAAGGAATAATGAAAACCAATCCTTCACAAACTCTTCCAAAAAAATGAAGAGGAGAGACTACTTACCAACTTAATCTATGAGACCAGTGTTACTCTGATACCAAAACCAGACAAAAAATATCACAAGAAAAAAAACCCTATAGACGAACATCCTTTATAAATATAGATGCCTGGGGTGCTTGGGTGGCTCAGTCGGTTGAGCGTACGACGTCGGCTCAGGTCATGATCTTCCAGTCTGAGTTCAAGCCCCACGCTGGGCTCTGTGCTGACAGTTCAGAGCTGGAGCCTGCTTCCGATTCTGTGCCTCCCTTTCTCTCTGCTCCTCCCTTACTTGTGCGCTCTCTCTCTCTCTCTCAAAAATAAATAAACTTCAAAAATAGTTTAAAAAATATATAAATGTAGATGCAAAAATCCTCCTGCAAATGTTAGCAAACTTCTCCCAGCAACATATAAAAAGGAATATACACCACGATCAAGTGGGCTTTATCCTAGGAATGCACGCTTTCCAAGGTATGGAAATCAGCCAATGTCATATTAATAGAACAAAGGGCAAATCTGGCTGTGCTACTTACTAGCTGTGTGACCTGGGGCAACGACCTTGGCCTCTTTGAACAAGTTTCTCCATTTTCAAAGGAGGGATAGTGACACTGATTCTTTGTGTTGTCACGAGGAGGACATTAGTGTCCATAGCAAGTGTCCAATACACCTTAGCGTAACGGTAATTATTTCATGGAGAGAACCCACTGGGGGGGGGCTAGGTCATCTGTCCAGGTGCCTATTCTCTGGTCACTTTTCAGGTGAGGAGAGTGGGGTGGGCGGGCTGACACGGCCTGACCCCGGGACCATCAACACCATCAGTATGCTCGCCACTGCCCCCAAGCCTCTGTCTCCACAGCTCTCCCTGCCTGAAACAGCCACCTTGACCTCTCCGGCCAGTGTGAATCCTCCCCAGCTCACACCCCACCCTCACAGGATCTTTCCTGACACCTGTGCTGTTCACTGTCCCTTCCTAAGTGCCGGGGGCGGCGGGGGAGGGTCGAGGTTTCACCACACACTTCATTCAAGACCTGACCACTCCTCTACCTCTTTGTCGACTGTGACCTTCCCGCTAAAGCACTTTGCTTCTCTGAGCCTCAGGCTCCTATGTGTAAAGGGAGGCTACCGTGTGGTAGGGGAGAAGGGGGTTACAGGAAGTGAGGGGCCGTGGGGAGGTCAGGATCTGCTGCTTCCTAAGCCCCAGAGCGGGGCCAGCAGCCCTCACTCACCTGGCCGGGTGGAAGATGGCGCTCATCTCCTCCGCCAGGTGCCTCCGGAGAATGTGCTTCCCGCTCGGGATGCCCAGGGCAGTGGCCATGGCCTCGGCGTTGAACGTGGGTTCCAGCACCAACACGGCACCGTGGATGCCGCTGTTGGTCAGGTTGTCTGCGTACTCCTGAGGGCAAAGCGCGGGGCTGGTTAGCCTGGGGGGCTGCCCTGCTGGGCTGAGAGGGCCACCCTGTTGTCCTGAGCCTGCCTTGCTGGCCTGAGGTGCCCTCAGCTGCAAGTGGGGACATGTCCCCTACAGCAAAGGCTTGTCCCCCTGGGGACCAGTTAGTTAAAGCCCGAGGGGGAGCCCCTCACTCCTTTAGGGGCCATGAAGACGGTCACCAAGACGATTTTGTCACTGACACCCCCAGGCTGTGGCAGGCAGCCCATAAATACTTGTTCAGTGAGAAGAGGAGCCCAGATCCACCCCGACCCCAGCTTCAGGGACAGCCCAGCCTCCCCACGCCTGCTATGAGGAAGGCATCATTGATGGGGGTCCTGCGGCAGGGGCGGGGTGAGCGCCCCCTCCTCTGGAGCGACAGGAGGCAGGCATTCTCACCCGCCTGGGCAGACACCCCACTCCCACAACGTGGACACACAAACGTGTGTGGGATTTGCGTATGCCTGCGAGTCACCCCCAGCGCACCCCCACCTCTCACCTTCAGGTCAATGTCCCGCACCCACTTGTGCACCCGCTGGTTGGTCCAGACCACGGGGTCTGTGTTCTGTGTTTCGCAGCGGGCGCGGCGCTCCTGGAGGGCCTGGTGTGGGGAGGACAGCGGGTCAGCTGGTTTGGGGGGGAACCACGCACAGATCACAGGGAGCGAGTGTGCACTGTGTGGGGGGACCCTGGTGTGAGGTACAGGGAGAAGTTCTGGCTGGAGAGCCCCAGCTTCTCTGGCCACGTCAGGCTGGGGCTTGGCCTTTCATCCTGGGAAATGGGGAGAAGCCTGCTTCTGGGGCGGAGGGCTGAGCGAGACCCCGCAGCTGCCTAGGTTTGTACCCCAGGCCCCCACCTCCTGACACGGAGTGGGTGCCCAGTGACGTGGCCCTTCCGTGAGGGGCTAGGTCTCTCATGGGTCCACCCAGCCCCTGGGGGCAACGAGTGTCACCCTGGCATAAAACGTCACTCATGGCCACCTGCAGAGGGATCAGCCTGGTCCCCTTTAGTAAGCCCCCTTGGGGGGACTGGCCCCCAGGATAGGACTCCTGGGCTCATGGTGGACACGTGGATTCCGCCCCTGGCAGCCCGTGGAGTTCTCCAACGTGCCCGGAGCAGCCCAGTGCGCCATGCTCCTGTCCACACTCGACTCTCACCATCTTCCTGCACATCCGCCTCCTTCACCAGACTGGGGCTCCGGGGGACCGAGGCCTGTGCCGCAGGTCCCTGCAGTCGGCGTGTGCCAAGGGTTGAAGTGGACAGCTCCCTCCTCTATCCTCTCCTCCTGACCCCCAGCTGCTTGTGCTCTGACATGACTCTAGCAAAAGTAAACCACCTGGACGGACCCCGCCCTGCAGACTAGGGCCCCTCCCTCAGGGATATTGGGGTCCCGGGGGGAGCTGCAGCAGATGCCCTGTGCTGTCTGGCTTGGCAGGGCTCCGAATCAAGGGGGGGCATTCAGAGTCCAAACTCTGACTCTCCCCGCTGGTCTCCGGGACCTACCTGGCCTTCCTGTTCACTCCCCCACCTCCGACCCAATACTGGGACCACACAGGATTCTCAGTTCTGCTGTTGCCACACATCTGTCCTCTGGGCTTCTGCTTGTGCTGTTCCCTCTGCTGGGTTGCTTTCCCTTCACATCTCTCACTGAGTGATCCCTGAAATTCCTCTCTCAGACTTGAGTTCCTCTGTCACTATCTCTAGGAAGCCTTCTCTGATTCTTCTGAAAGATACTCCTTTGGATTTTCATAAAGCCCTGGACTTCCCTCACTGGGGCAACTTTCCATGGTATCGGGGCACCAGCTTCTGTGTGGTTCACCCTGCTCAGCAGTGAGCTCCTGCAGCATGAGGGTGCCCCACTTCCTCTGAATTGGGTACCGGGCCTGACCCATGCCCAATAAGCAGTTGTTGGAAGAAGGGAGGGAGTGAGGAAGGGGTGGACAGGTGTGTGCGGATAGGTGCATTGAGCTAGGTGGATGGATGGATGGATGTGTGGATGGGTGCACGGGTGGCTAGGTGGATGGGTGCATGTGTGGATGGGTGCACAGATGGCTAGGTGGATGGGTGCGTGTGCTGATGGATGATGGATGGGCAGATAGTTGGATGGACCGAAGTGGGGACCAGTGTGGAAAGAAGAGCTGTGGAAGGGCCCCCACCACCTGCCCTGGTCCTCACCTCCCTGTTGAAGTTCACTTGGTGCAGCAGCTCGATCCCCAGCAGGATGCTGACCTGGTGGAACTTCTTGGACACGTTCAGGTGCTTCTCCAGGTCCCGCTTCATCAGGGAGAGCAGCATTCGCCCGTCGACCAGGTGGTTTTGGAAGGCCTGAGAGTACTGGCACAGGCCGATGTCGTTCAGCCAGGCCTTGGCCACCCAGTGATGGTCCAGGTCAGCGGCTTTGGACAGGCTGGCGAGGAGAGACATGCCCGGGAAGGGGGATGGGTGGGGGACAGGTGGCAGGAAGAGAGGGACGGGAAGACACGGGGCGGCGATGGGCAGAGATGACGATGGGGGGGATAGCAGGGTGGGGTAGTGAGGGGGACCGAGAAACCAGGGAGATGGACAGGAAAAGGGATGGAGTGAAGAGACAGGAAGAAAGAGCCAAAGCAGGGGTGAGGAGAGAGGTGGATACAGGGGGTGGGAGGAGACAGAGATGGACAGAAAGACAGGCAGACACAGGGAAACGGAGAGCGAGCCCCAAAGAACAGAAAAAGGATCAACAGAGAGGTGGACAAGGGAAGAGGAAAAGAGAAGGGAGTATATTTGGACACACTGCGTGAAGGGGACGGTGGCGGAGCAGCAGCGACATGGGCGCTGGGAGGCAGCACCTCTGGGTGCCCTCAGCATCCTCAGCCTGCCCCTGGGCACACTCCCCCGGGAACGTCCATCTGTAGAGCAGAATCCCTGAACCTGCGAAGCCACGGCCCGGGCCGTCTCTCCCCAAGGTCACACTGTGGCATGTCTTGGAGGCAGAATTAAAACCCCCGTTTGCCCATTCCAAGCCCTCTCGCCTCACAGCTGTATCTCAGATTCTCTGCGTCCCACACAGACCCTAGCTCAGTGCCGCACACGTAGTAGGTTCACAAGGAATACTTCCCAAACGGATAAAAAGGTGGATGCTCCTGGCCAAGAGGTCCCCTCAGCTGTCATTCCCCTGATCGCCACACGGTGGCAGCCTCACAGAAGGAATGAGAACAGCACATCCCACCTAGCGAGGGACTTGAGAGATGACCCCCGGGGCTGCCCGGGGTGGGTATTCACTACGAAGGGATCAGGACGTGATAGGGAAATATGGGCTCACAGAGCGACACCGCCCTCCTCCCCATGTCTGGGATTGAGACCAGCATCCTCCCCTCTCCCCCAGATGGAAAGCCCCTCAGCCACTTTCCAGCCCCCTCCCTGTGCACCCGTCTCTAAGAACTGAAGCTGGGGACCTGGGTGGGATTTTCACTCCCACCTGACTCACCTTCCTCCTTTCCACTCTGCACTGCCACTCAGGGCGACCCCGTCTGTCCCTGGGCTCTGCCCTCCCGCTGGTCTCCGCCCTGCTCCAGCTGAGCCCTCCCCAGGCCCTCCCCAGGGCAGCAGCCACTGCCCTTCCTTCATCGAACTGATACGTGCGGAGCAGCTACTGACCGCTGTGCTCGGGATGGATGCTGCCACATAATGGGCACGTCTTCGCTCCTCTCATGGCCCCTTTCTTTCCTTCTTCCTTCTCCCCCGTGCTCTCTGTTCCCTGATGGTGCCATTTCCAGGGCTCTGGATTACATCTGTAAATGAGGACTCCCAAGTTCTCATCTCCCCTCTCCTGTCTTCTGAGACCCGGCCTCTTACTAACTGCCCTCTTGGCATTTCCTAACTGTCAGCATCTCACATTTAATGGGCCCCAAATGAGAAGCCTTGACCTCTTTCCCAGCTCTTCCTCGTTCCCCGCCATCACCCAGCTCCTGGTCCTCACTTGCCATCCTCTCCCCTCCCCCACCGGGTCTATCAGTCACTCTGGTCAGTGTGTCTGTCCCGTTTTCTCCTTTTCTGGGCTCAGTCTACCACCACCTCTGGCACAGATCCCTGCAATTGCCTCCTTACTTCTCCCGCCACGTGCTCGGCCCCTTCTAATCCACTTTTCCCCGTAGTGGCCAGATGGTCTTTTAAAAACATCAGTCAGGTCAGGTCCCTTCTCTGCCTAAAACCTTCCTGTGGAAGAACCTTAAATGCACATTACTAAGTGAAAGGAGCCAATCTGAAAGGGCTACATATTGTATGATTTCAACTCTATGGCATTCTGGGAAAGGCAAAACTACGGAGACAGTGAAAAGAGCAGTAGTGGTTGCCAGGGGTTAGGAAGAGGGAGGGATGGATTGGTGGGCACAGGGGCTTTTGAGGGCAGTGAAATCATTCAGTATGATTCTGTAATGATGGATGCATATCATCAGATGTTTGTCCAAACCCACAGAATGTACAACGCCAGCAGCGAACCCTAACGTAAACTATGGACTTTGGATGATTGTGATGTGTCAGTGCAGGTTTATCAGCTGTAGCAAATGGTCCATCTGCTGGGAGATGTGGATTATGGGGAAGGCGTGGGGGCAGGGGGTCTATGGGAAATCTCTGTACTTTCCCTTCAATTTTGCTGTGAAACTGAAACTGCTCTAAAAAGTTAAAGTTTAAGAAATGAGGGAGAAACAAAGACTTTTTAAAAAACAAAATTGGGAGAATTTATCATCAGAAGAATAAACTGCAGGAAATGCTGACGGACTTTCTTCAAGAGGAAAGAAAATGGTAACTATATGGAAACTTGGCCCATACAAAAGAATAAAGAGAAAATCTCCTAAAAGTCACAATAGAAAACCACCAGACTCAGAAATAGGCAGATGACTTGAATAGGCATTTCTCGGGGAGACTGGGTGGCTCAGTCGGTTAAGCGGCCGACTTTGGCTCAGGTCATGATCTCACGGTTTGTGGGTTCGAGCCCCGCGTTGGGCTCTGTGCTGACTGCCGGCTCAGAGCCTGGAGCCTTTTTCAGATTCTGTGTCTCCCTCTCTCTTTGACCCTCCCCTGTTCACACTCTCTCTCTCCTTCCCTCCCTCCCCCCCCTCTCTCTCAAGAAATAAATAAAACAAAAAAAAATTGAATAGGCATTTCTCCAAAGATGACATACAAGTAGCCAATAAACACACAAAAAGATGCCCATCACTCAACACTAGGGAAATGGAAATTTCACTACAAAGAGATACCACGTCATACCCATTTGGATGGCTAAAAAAAACAAACCCAGAAAACAGGTGTTGTTGGGGATGTGGTGAAATCAGAACCCTTGTGTGCTGTTGGTGAGGATCTAAAGTGGTGTCACCACTGTGGAAAACAGTATGGTGGTTCCTCAAAAAATTAAACATAGAATTATCATATGATCCAGAAATTCCATTAGAAGCCACCAAGTGTCTACTAAGAGAGGAACGGATAAGCAAAATGTGCTATATATACACAGTGAAATATTATTCAGCTTTAAAAAGAAAGGAAAATTTGATACATGCTACAGTTTGGATGAATCTTCAGGACATGATGCTGAGTGACGTAAGCCAGGCACAGAAAGACAAATACCGTATGAGGTACTGAGAGTAGTCAAAACCATAAAGGCAGTAAGTAGAAGTATGGTTGCCATTATACTGGGAGGAGAGGAGAACAGGGAGTTTGTGTTTATTGTGTTATTGTGAGCATACAGTTTCAGTGGTATAAGATGAAAAGAGTCTTGGATGTAGATGGTGGTGATGGCTGCATGGCAATGTGAATGTATTTTATACCACTGAATTGTGCACTTAAAAATGGCTAAGATGGAAAATATGTGTACTTTACCACAACACAAAAATTTTTCTAAGAATGACAATCACTGGAAATGATAAATATCTGGGTCAATATTTTTCTCATTTGCGAATCTCCTTAAATCTACAATAATGGACAGTTTAAAAGAAATATAGTAACAATGTATTACGGAAACATATAGTCCATATAAATAAAAACGCAGGAAAACAATAGTACAAAGGCAGGAGAAGAAAGCACCTTCATCTAGACACAAAGTTGTATAATATTATCTGAAGACAGACAGTGTAAGTTACGTATGTGTATTAGAAACTGCAGAGAAACAATTAAAAATAAAACAAAAAAGAGTAGCTCATAAGCTCGCAGTAGGAACATCTAATCAATAAAAAGTCAGTAAAAGAGCGGGGAAAGGAACAAAAGGTAGATCTAAAGGAAACAGGGCAAAATAAGAAAACACTTGTGGTTCCCCTTTGCAGGCATAACATCAGGAGTCACCGGAGCTGCCCAGCAAGGTCTGGCCTCCTCTCCCACGCCGGCCGCAGGCTCAGGGGCACCCGGATGCCCTGAGCTCTTGACCCCATCGGGTGGGGGCGCTGGCTCTTCCCTGGACCCCTTTCCTTCTGGTCTTGCCCGTGGCTCATTCCTCACCTCCCAGCACAAGCTTCCTCTGACCGTTTTGTCTGGAGTTGCTCCCCTGGCCTGCTGCTCTGCCTCTAAGTATTTCCTGCAAAGCACTAATTACACATGGAACTTCAAGAATTAACTCATCTGAGCACAGGGACTGATCTGCTGACGAGCCAGCCCAGCGCTCGACACCTGTCAGGTGCTTCACTGGAAAGTCGGCCAAGAAAAGGAAGTGGGGGGGGGGTGTTCCCAGCTTCACTCTGCCTTCTCCTGCCCCTCAGCCCCCCAGGACCACTGGGCTCTGCTCACCGAGGCCGGGACCTCGGGGTCTCCAGGCTGTTCTCCACCCCCACGCCTGACTCCTACAGGATTCTGCTGTGTTCTCGCTCCTCTGGAAGCCTTCCCGGCCCCTCGCGCTCGGTCAGAGCCCTTCTCAGTGTCCAGAGGCCCCTGGGCATCCCCGCCCCTGCCCTTGTCACCCTGCTGTTCATCTGGCCAGTGGCCCACCCCACCGCCAGCTTCTGGAGGGTGGGAGCGGGTGTGGCATATCTCCAAACACCGAGGCTCCCCACCTGCCTCAGAGTTCACGGCCAACAGCTTCTGTTCTACAATCCAGTGCATTGGAGACAAAGCAAGGCTGGGTGAGCGGGGCACTGGCTCCCGTCCACCAGGAGGTTGCCCAGGACGGAGCTCCTGAACTGCACACGTTTAAAAAAGTTATTTTTTTAACGTTCATTCATTTTTTGAGAGAGACAGAGCACGAGCTGGCAAGGAGCAGAGAGAGAGGGAGACAGAATTGGAAGCAGGCTCCAGGCTCCGAGCTGTCAGCACAGAGCCTGACGCGGGGCTCAAACCCATGAACCGTGAGATCATGACCTGAGCTGAAGTCAGATGCTTAACCGACTGAGCCACCAGATGAACTGCAAACTTCCGGCCCAAGTTCCCCTCTAGGGAGACAAAGTCCCTGGCTGACGCCCTCTCAGCACCCCAGGGCGGGGTGGCCCTTCCCAGGCCTCTCTGCCATTGTCCTGGGTCCCCTGACCAGGGCAGGAGTCAGAGCTCCCAGTCCTCCTCAGCGGATGCCATGGGGCCAGGGTTGTCCCTGACGGGGACAGAAGCCCTCCTCTCCTGAGCGAGGGTTTGCTCAGCGAATCAGTGGTGCAGCAAGACGTAGGGTGGTGTGTTGGGAGGGGTGCATGGCGGAACCTACTCGAGAGAAGCCATTTATAGCCAGCAATATCCATCCACATGCTGCCGATTAATGCACTCTTGCCCTTCAAAACGGTTCCCTTTTCATTAAAGTTGTCCCCATGGGGCCTCAGCTTGGCAACACTTTCCCGGCTGTTGGTTTGAGCTATTGTAAGTGCCCGAGTTGAACAAAATGGCATGACTTTAAAAGTAATTCAGATGTTTTATAAAATTTGACACTGTCCCCGCCCCCAAACTGGGGCTAAATTAAACCCTGAAATCCGAGTTTGGGCACAGAATTTAGATATCGTCTGGGTCATTATTCCACACTGAAAACACGAGGCCATTCTAGCTCTATTACCTTTAGCTCAGGGACCTTGCCTCTCTGTGCCCCAGTTTCCTCATCTGTAAAATGGGACTAATCATGTTTGCCTCACAGATGTCGTGAGGGCTGGAAGAGACAAGAGAGTGTGAAACTCTTAGCACAGAGTCTGGGGCACATTCCGTGTTCCACAAGTAAGTGTAGTAGGGACGGTCAAGGTTGTTAACGTTAAGGCAATGTAGGATAATGGAAAGGGGATTGATCTCAAAGCTAGGTATTTGAAATGTAACTGCGCCCATTTCTCTGGGCCTCACATTCTCTGTCTTTAAAATGGGGGCAAGAATGTCTATCACACATGGATGTGGTGATGGGTAAATAAAATCATGTCCATAAGGCAACTGGTGTATTTTAGAGATAAGGGGAGCCAGGCCCAGAGAGGGTAATGTCATGGCCAAAGCCACACAGGATGTGTTCTTGAAGATAACTTCACCGGGGTTCTTATCCTAGAGTTCATGGGCCCCTAAACGTTTCGTGAGGGAGTCAAAGGGTCCCAGGATACAAAGTTGTGAAATTTGGTAGATCTCTTCTGGGGCAAGTGTCAACTGCTTTTACTAGACTCTCAAAGTGGCCTTGGTCTCTGAAAGTTAAAAGAACCGCTGTCTAATTTAACTCCCTTCACTTCACAGGTGGCAAGAGCAAGGTCATGGCAAGTCAGATACAGGCCAGAATTCCACAGGGAAGGAGCCCCTCCCGCGGGAGGCCCTTGGGGGTGTTTAATTCTGGGACGCAAGGTCCTCGGAAAGTCGCGATCGCAGCCGTCTGGATTTTTCAGACTCTGCTCACATCTGGCTGCTATGTGTATCCACCCCTTTCCAGGTACCAGAGAATCTCGGTTCCTAGAGGCTCTTGGGGGGGTCAGTCCCATTTTGGGGGAGCTTGGGCAGCGACCCCACGTTTTCTCCAGGTGAAGCAGGCAGCCCCGCCCTGTCAATGGCCAGCGCTCACCGACCACATTGGGAGGGGATAAGGGCGCAGGAGGCGTCCCCAGCTGGGGTGGTGGAGGCTGGTGAGCGTGTGGGGGAGGCGCTGGTTAGAAGGGGGTGGTGAGTGTGAGGTGCTTGCGAAACCCTCTGGAGGGGAAGCGCCAGGAAAGCAGGCTCATGTCCGCCACTTCCCTCCCCTGCCCCACACTGCTTCTCCGCCCCATCTTCCACCCCCAGGCCTGTCTTCCACCCCCAGGGTCCTGACTTGCTGACAAGTCTTTCGGCTTTGTGCTTTGCTTGCTGTGAGTTGCTGTGAGTTTCTGATCTGATCTCAGACGTACTCCCTGCCGCCTGGGAATCACGCCACGGGCCCCTCCCCAGGACACCCAGGCATCTGGTCTCCTGCTTCCAAACCAGCCCGAGCCCTAACCCCCGCACTTTTTAATCCACAAAGCTGCTTCTGCAAATAATAGCACACACCACCAGGTTTGATTAATTAACTGCACAAAAATGATGGGGAAACCAGCGAAGGAGATAATTATGCAAAACAGAAAGTGTCAGATTTACTACGCTGGCTCTTTCTTCCCCTCCGCACGCTGAGGATTGAAGGGGGGTGTCCTGATTTCCCGGGAGCTGCCTGGTGAATGAGCTCCCCGACACGTCCTGCTCACAAAAGGTCAGGAGGTGGGCAGGCAGGGGCTAGGGCAAAGACGGGGTGCGTGGAGGGGAAGCCAGTGGGAGCAGGCCACACCTGAGGAGAGGGACCTCGGGCCGTTCCCAGGGGTGCTTGCTAAAGGAGCCCCCGTCCAGCCGGCCCCAATCCTGTGCGCAGAGACTGCAGTAAAGCCCTTCATTGGGGCGCCCGGGGGGGCTCAGTCAGTTAAGCGTCTGACTCTTGGTTTCGGCTCAGGTCAGGATCTCACGCTTTCGTGAGTTTGAGCCCCGTATCGGCCTCTGCGCTGACAGTGTGGAGCCTGCTTGAGGTTCTCTGTCTCCCTCTTTCTCTGCCCCTCCCCCCCCACTGTCTCTCTCAAAATAAATAAATAAACTTAAAAAAAATAAGCCCTTTACGTCTATATCTCCTCTGTCCCATTCTGCTTCTCCCTGCCTTATGCCATCATTCCTCACCCTGGAATAGTAGGGCTGGGGGTTGGGAAGGAGGCAGAGCAGACATGCTGGCCGAATTCCCAGGCCTGCTCGGGCTGGACCTCGGACAGAGAGGAGGTACTGGAGCCCTGGCTGCGGAGATCACAGGGGCCTCGCTGATTCCCTGTATCTCTATATTTCTGAGGGGAGGGCTGGCCCAGAGCGGGACTAGAGTGAGGCTGGCCCCTCTGGCCATGGCATTCCCGGGCACACCGAACCCCTCCCTCCCTGGCCAGTGGCATTCCCGGGCACACCGCACCCCCGTCCCTGGCCAGTGGCATTCCCGGGCACACCGCGCCCCCCCCTCCGTGGCCCAGCCTACATTGCCTCTTGGCCCCCACTGTGGGATCTGGAGGTCTCACGGCGGACTTTTCTCCCTTCTCCCGGGAGCCCAGCCCAGGCAGGGTGCCCGGAGGGCCGACCCACCTCCGGCCCGCCTCGGCGTCGCGGTAGTCCTCGATGGCCAGCCGGAGCTTGCGCCGATGCAGGGAGCTGCACACTCCCAGGCCCAGCTCCAGGTCCTCATCACTCAGGCTCAGCAGCACCTGCTCCCCAGGGAGGCGAGGCCTGAGTGCCCAGAAGGGGGGGTTGGGGTGGGCACCCGAGGCTCCCAGGACCTGCTGCTGGCTGCTCGGCAGAGGCCTGGAGGGGCCTACAGGGGTGAGGCTGGACCCTCCCACCACCCGTCCCCCTGCCCATCCTTCTTTGCAGAGCACTCGGTAGCAGTAGCACAGCTCCAGGAGGTGAGAGTCACATCCTGGCCAAAGAGGCCCCTGGTCCAGTCCCCACCTCCCCTTCAGCCAGGTACGGGGAGGGGAGGGCACGCTCAGAGGGCTCCGTGCCTTGCTGGGGAGACACAATGATTTACTGGGGACCCTGGAGCCTGAACCCAGTCCAGCTGGCTCCTAGAACACATCTGCCCCTCACCCCGGGATGGGATGCGGGTGATGGTGAGTGGAGCAGGCCATCTTTGGGTCCGTGAGGCTCATGGGAGGGCGAGGAGGCTTCCACCGCGATCCCGCAGGTGCCCTACCTTCCCGCTCTTGACGTTCTCTGCACACGCCTTGACGTACATGGGCATGGCCATGACCACCTCCAGCCACGCCTGGACGGTGCCGGCCTTCCAGTGGGACATGGGGGTGGTCCTGACCAGCTCCACCTGCTGCAGCCGGTCCATCTGCTCCTCGCCCTCCGACAGGCTGAGGCTCTGGCGCGTGGGGCTGCACTGGCTGTCCGAGTCTGCAACACACAAGGGCAAGCTTGCTGGGGAGGGGGGCGGGGTGGGGGTGGGGTCACATCAGGGGGCGGGGGCACGGACTGGGCAGGCAGTCCCCGCCCTCTCAGGGTCTGCACTCCCAGGGTGGAGGAGGAGGGCAGGGATGTCTTCTCCTCTTGCGTTTCTTCTTTGCAAAAGCAAAAAGGCTTGTTTTGTTTTGCTGCCCCTCCCCCATGACAAAAGCAATCTGTCCCTCCCCACCCCACAGAAGAAAAGAATTTTAAAAACTTAATCCAGAAAAGAATGAAAATAAAACAGAAAGTGAAAATCGCCCCAAATCCCACGCCACCCAGAGACGGCAGCTGTTAGTGTTTAGTTAAATATTCTTTGGGTTACACAAATGCCCACGCTTATAAACACACACAGACCCACGCGCAGACACAACGTGCTCCATTCTGTAATACACTGTTCTCATTTACACCGTGGAGGGCGTCTTTCCGTCTCAGCAGAGATCGGTGGCAGCTTCTGACTGCACAGGATTCATCAGAGGATGCATTCTACTTTCTCTCGCCTGCCTCCTGTTGGTGGCCATGGATTGTTCCCCATTTTTCGCTAGTGTACACAGCACGGTGGCCATCACCTCTCGGCCATGGAGTGATTTGTTTTCTTGGGATAAATGGAGCCTGAGCTCCCTGCCTAACCCCCCCCCCCGAACCCTGTTTCTGGAATAGCCCCTCCTGGGGAAAAATATCAGCGTGCCAGTATCTCCCGGCCCCACTGCTCAATCCACGCTCAGCTACACCGCCACCTGATGAACAGGCCAAGTTCAGCGTACACAGACTCGGCCGAGAGGGGAAAGAGTCTCCTTCTCGAAAGCAGGGTTAAATCAACACCCAAACAAACTCAATACCACGAGAAATGACAAGCATGAAAAAAAATAAGCCTGGTACATTATAAATTATCGTAAGGATGTAAAAAAATGCTTATCTGCCAAATCGGACACATGGTAGAAACAATGTGTGTGAAGTGACACAGATGTTTACAGTTCCTGAGCGTGGGTGCCGGGAAGGATGGGCTACTTCTCTCTTCTATGCTTTTGTGTATCATCAGCGTTTCATAATGAACATGCTTTAGTTGCTAACAAAAATTGGAAAAATTAAAAAAAAATAGGAAACTATAAACGGTTATTGATGGGGATTTATCTGAATGAATGATACCGCCTTCATATATTGGAATATATGTCATTGATAAGGAATCTGTCACTGGAGAATATTTTTGACATGGGATGATGCTCATAATCCATTGAGGAGTGAAAAAGACAACAGGTCCAACATAAGCCTCATTGTGTGTTTTTAAATGTTTATCTATTTGGGAGAGAAAGGGAGAGACAGAGCATGAGTGGGGGAGGGGCAGAGAGAGAAGGAGACACAGAATTGAAACAGGATCCAGGCTCTGAGCTGTCAGCACAGAGCTCAATACGGGGCTCGAACCCAGAACCATGAGATCATGACCTGAGCTGAAGCCGGACGCTTAACCGACTGAGCCACCCAGGCACTGCCCCCCTCACCATTGTATTTTTAAAATGAGACATTTAGTCACATATAATCATATACAGATGATTATATAATGTGTAACTATAATTATGTGCATATATGTATATTTATACATTTATACGTATAAAATATTAGTTGGATAAGTGTTACAAGCCTGCGTCTGGAAAGGGGTGATGGGTTAATTGTGCGTGTGTGTGTGTGTGTGTGTGAACGTGCATGCGTGAGTGTGCAAGAGGGTTTGCATGTGTGCATACTTTCCTGCTTCCCATATTTCCTGCATTCACTATATTATTTCTGAAATTGAAAAACAAGCCCAGAAATCTTGTTCAAGTTACAAGGCTGCTCCCCCCAGTTCCTCCTCCTCTCCCCCCGTCCCTGCCATTTCAACTCTTTGGAAACAGCTGCATCCGCTTGGTGACTATGCCCGTATCCAGCTGCGTGGGGACTTCTCTCCCCGACACCGGGGGGGCCTCGAATTGCCCAGCCAGGAGCCCCTGGGAGCCCACAGCTGCTGGCCAGGGAGACGTCACCCCTGGTCTCACAGGGCGCTGGGCAGAGCGACCTAACTCAGGGTGGGCAGACAGGCCTTGTGCCTCAGTTTCTATCTCTGTGAGGTCGGCGTGATGCTGCTCCCTGTCCCCTGCCTCCTCTCCTGGGCTGCTCAGGGGACTCAGTGACTGTGCCAGATGGGTGAGGTTTGAGAAGCTACAGAAACATTCTGTCTCCCGCCTCAGGGGGATGGAAGGCCTCAGCCCTGCCCCCAGGGAAACAGCAGATGGGCACAGAGCTCTGTGCGGGTCACCAGGCTGGGCACATGTTGCCATGGCGCCCGGGAATGCGGAAACACAGCTCCTCCTGCAGCGGCCCGGCTGGGGGCCCCAAGCTTCTGCCTGGTGAGAGCGCAGCCTGCTCCCGCCTCTGCGTCCCTTGCTGGTCCCCGGCTCCCGAGGACAGCTTTGGCTTGCACGGAAGTCTTTCTGATTGGGTCGTGTAAGTGTTGGCCCCTGGCACACAAGCAGGGTGTCCTCCCCTGACCTGGAGGGCTGAGAGCCACTGCCTTGTGCCTGTGGCCGAATCTAGTCTGGGTCACGTGCTTCTGGGAAGATGAGAGACACACGTCACCCTGTCTGGTTACCCGAAATTCCAAGACACCGCCCGTGTTGTCCATTTGGACCAGGCCTGTGGAAAGAGACAAGGCTTTGGAGTTGAATAGACCTCGGCTTTGGGCAAATTTCTTTACCTCTTCAAGTCTCAGTTTCCCCGTCTATAAAATGGGTATAAGAAGAATAGTATCTACCTCCGAGGTTAATGGCTATTATAAATTCTGAATATGAAGCTATCGTAGGCATGGGGTCCAGGTTAATTTTTGTTGGTAATAAAGGGCCCCCTCCCTGAGGCTGCCTTCCTGGGATGAAACGTGGCTTGAGTTCAGCTCAGGTGCATATAGGATCCCGCTTGGTGTCAAGCCCACCTGAAATGCATCGTCCTAGATGGACTCTGGCCTGGTGCACGTGGGAGGGCGGGCTCCCTGGGAGGGGAGGGGTGGGTTTGTCTATCCGGTGGCCAGGTGGGTGGTGTTTGGCTAGGCCTCCCCAAATAAAGGCAACAAAGGAGCATGGGAAGGAGGGAGGAAGGGAAAGGCAGGCAGTAACAGAGAGAGAACTCAAGAGGAGAGAGACAGTGTCACAGAAAAACAAAGACAGCGATAAACAGGAGGAAGGAGAGAATGAGCGGAGAGTGGAGAGGGACCCACAGGTAAGCGGACAAAGAGAGAAAGAACCCCCCCCCCCCATCGTGCGTGCATGTTTTCCTGAGTGTGTGAATGTGCGCGGGTCATTCTGTGGCTCAGGGGCCTCAGACCTGTGACAGGAGCTGGCTTTTCAACTCACATTCCTTATGGCGGCCTGGCTCCAGGAACGCCAGAGGCCGAGCCGGGCTCCTACGAGCAAACCACACGTTTTGATTTCTGAAAAAAGACAGCTATTCACAGCCCGCCCCCCCCACCCCCCATCTCCTTCCCCCTCTCCCCGCCTTGGCACCCAGGACTGAGCTCCAAGGCGACACCGCAGGACTGAGGAGGGGGGTGTCTTTGGGGTCATAAGCCATTAATTAAAGGCACTTTCCCAAATGCAGGCCTTACGGTGCCAGATTTTATGTTCAGGATTCCATCAATCCTGGATTTTATTTCCCCTCTGTCTCAGCCTGAGAGTGGGAATAACTCACATTTATAGTTAGGCAGTGAGTTAGAGAGGCCGGCCCAGCCCCTGGGAGGGTCTGAGGAGGCATTGCCAAGAGGCAGTCAGTCCGGAAACTTCTGAACACGGGGAGGACCGGGGTGGCTCTGGAAGAAGAGATTCTACCTCCTCCTGCCTGGTGGACTAAGATATTAACTTCCTGGCTTGTTACAGAAAATCCTTTACAGAAAACTTGAGGTTCTGAGGTTGGCCTTGGGGTACGAGAGACCTGGGTTTGAATGCCGGCTCTTCGGCTTACCAGTCAGGTGATCTTGGAGAAGGGTCTTGAATGTTCTCAGCCTCATTTTTACCATCTATGAAATGGGATGATCTAATCTCACAGGCCTACGTGGGGACTAATGAGGTGAAGTACCATACATACGAAGTGCTCAGCTCAGTGTCCGGCAGTCAGCGGGTGCTCAGGGGCTGGGTGGGGGCCTCTGTCCTCTGCAAGTTCATGTCACTTACAGTCTATACCGGCTCTGGTATGGTAGCTACAAGCCACACGTGGCTTTCGAGGCCTGTAATCCGGCTCGTCCACACTGAGAAGTGTCTACAGTATAAAATACACCCTGAGTTTTGAAGACTTTGTCCAAAGAAAGAAGTAATCTCAGTAATTTTTATATTGACCACATGTTTAAACAATAATATTGGGGGTATATTGGGTTAAATCAGATATATTATTAAAAATTCATGTCACCTGTTTCTTTTTACTTCTTAGTGGGCCTGCTAGAAAGTCTAAAATTACATGTGTGGCTCGTATGCTATTTATTTTTACTGGTCTGAGCTAGATTAGATGGAAGGTTTTCTTTCTTTTCTCACTGTGTTTCCCCGCTTCTGTCGGTTTGGAAGTGAAGCATCTGATTTCTCTGCTTTTGGTTCAGTGGTTCTCAAAGTCGGGTCCCTGGGCCAGCATAATCAGGAGCACATGGGAACCTGTTAGCAATGCAGATTCTAGGAGCCCACCCCTGAGTTCCTGGAGCAGAAGCTCTGAACGCTGGGTCAAATAATCTGCATTTTAACAAGCCCCTCCACCCCCCCCCCCCGCCCCCGTGATTCTAATGTGTGCTGAATTCTAGAACCACTCTTTAATGGCTTCCCTTGAAAACTTACCACGTGTATTTAACTTAAAACTTAGAGTTCATTGTATCTTAATGCTCTGTCCTAAATAGTAAGTTATTTAAAACATTCTGATCAGTCTTTCTGACTTACAACCTACCATGTCGATTATTTTAATTCTGTCCTTTTAAAAAAATTTAAAAAAAAAAACACATTTTATTATTGAGAAACAGAGCACGAGCATGCAAGGGGCAGAGAGAGGGAGACACAGAATTAGAAGCAGGCTCCAGGCTCTGAGCTGTCAGCACACAGCCCGGTGCAGGGCTGGAACTCACAAACCGTGAGACCATGACCTGATCCAAAATTGGACGCTTTACAGACTGAGCCACCCAGGCGCCCCAGTTCTGTCTTTTTAAAAAGCCCCATAATTTTAGACCTTATAATGATTATTTTATGCTGATAATATTGGCTTGTAATAATTTCCCTGTATGCTAACCACATTGTTCATCATGTCCTGTGTCTCAGACCTCACTTTTAAGATAATTTTTCTTATTCCTGAAGGACATGATTTAAAATTTCCTCTGATTAGGAGTATTTGGTGGTAAACTCTTAACAACTTTCGTTTATCTGGGGAAAAAGCCTACGTTTCCCCCTTGTCCTTCCGAGCACTTTGCTGGGCACACAAATTTTAGGGTGACGATCGTTTGCATTTGGCACCTCGAGGACATGGCCCCACTGTCTTCCGTCTTCCTTTCTGCTAAAGAGAGGGCAGCTGCTATCAGTCTCTTTGTTCTTTGTTGTTTCCTTTTGAGATTGTGTCTTTTCTTTTACTTTCCGTGGTTCCATTACGACGCGGCGAGCTGTGGATGTCTTCTCATCCCGAATGATGGAAGTTGTGCTTCCTGTGTCTGTGGGTTCCTTTCTGGAAAACTCTTAGCATTGTCTCTTACAATATTACCTCTTCTCCGTTCTCTCCATTTGCTCTCCTTCTGGGACTGGGCTTTCTAATTCCGTCTTCCCTTCTTGTGACCTAGTGCTGTCCGCCAGAATTTTCTGCGATGGTGGAAATGTTGGATAATCTGCACTGCCCAGTATGAAGCTGTTAGTCACTTAGGCTGCGGGTCCTCAAAATGAGGCTGGTGCAGCTGAGGAACTGAATTTAAGGTTTTCTTTAATTTTTTTTTAACTCCAATACAGGTTCACATTGCCACATGTGGCTAAGGGCTATTGTGGGGGACCAGAAAGCTCTAATTCTCCCCATGGTTTCCATCAACTTATTTCTCTGCATTGCATTCTGGGTAGTTTCCTTACACCTATTTTCCATTTTTAAAATCCTCTCTTCAGCTATTTATGCTGCTGCTTAGTCCATCCGTGGATTTTATTTATTTTTAAAGGTTTTGAAAAAAAATTTTTAACATTTATTATTGAGAGGCAGAAAGAGAACACAAGCATGGGAAAGGCAGAGACAGGGGGAGACACAGAATGTGAAGCAGGCTCCCGGCTCTGGGGCTTGAACTCACAAACCATGAGAGCATGACCTGAGCTGAAGTCAAATGCTTAACTGACTAAGCCACCCAGGCACCCCTAAAAGTTTCTTTTTTAAAGTTTTATTTATAAATGAGAGCACAAGAATGTGTATAAGCAGAGGAGAGGCAGGAAGGGGGAGAGAATCCCAAGCAGGTTCCACACTGCCAACTGTGGAGCCTGATGTGGGGCTCGAACCCACAAACCATGAGATCATGACCTGAGCCGAAGTCAAGACTCAGATGCTTAACTGACTGAGGCCCAGGTGCCCAGGTTTTATTTTACTTTTTAAATGTTACTATATCTTTCTAAAAGTTCTATTTGGTGCTTTCCCAAGTTCATCTGGTCTTTTTAAATAGTCTCTTGTTGATTACTCGTGTTATGATTTCATCTTAAATTAAAAAAAAAAGTCCTGTTTATCAATTTTGAGACAGAGGGGGAAAAAAGAGAAGCAGAGAGAGAAGGAAAGAGAATCCCAAGCAGGCTCTGCTCGTCAGCACAGAGTCCGACGTGGGGCTCAATCTCAGGAACTGTGAGATCATGACCAGAGCTGATATCAAGAGTTGGATGCTTAACTGACTGAGCCACCCAGGTGCCCCTCACCTTAATTTTTTAAAGTACTACTTGCATATTAGCTTATATTTGGTATTGGTACTTTTCTGTATCTGAAAAGGCCATGGAGGGTCTAAACTGGCTGTATTTTTCTGTGGACTTGTGCAGAACTCAGTTTTGATCTTATGGGAGCCTGCAGTGTCTAAATAGCAAGATGGCTTCCTCCAGTGAGGATTTACGTTACTTCTGCGGTGGGAGGAGGTAGGGAATGGGGATGGTGCCAGGTAGCAGGGACCACTTCATTCGGGTTAACATGGGAAGACGAGAGGCCACAGGCTCTGTTCCTTCTCTGTGCCACACTCCGAGGTTGACCTCCCTGTACACGGTCCTGACCTCAGTGTTTGTTCCCAGGACAGACCCCGGTTTTCACACTGGGTTATCACTGCCCCTGTTCTGGTATTAGCTCACAGCTTTCTAGTTTTGGGTGGGGGCAACTTGGGGATTTCCCTTACTTTTGGTGAGGTCGGAGATACATTAGGAAATATGTTCTATTTTAGATCTAGTGGTTCTGCAGAGCGAGGGGCCCCATAGTCCGTCTTCCTCTGCGTAGCCCCGAGAGGA